AGAACTATTGTACAACCAGAACTATGAAACTGAATCAAATGCTTAAATTGAAGAATTTACTGAATCATAGAAATGGGAATGGAAACCCAGGTGGAATTCATGCTATAGCAGAAGAGGCAATGACAAGATAACTTGATGAAGCACTCATATAATAATAATACAGAAGAATATAAAGCGATTACAATCCAAATGAAGATGGCAATCCTGATGAAAATTACATGGATTTCGATAATCAAAGCAACTCTACATAGAGAAGAGGAGGAAAAGCGTATGATGCCACTCAATTATTTACTGAAAATCTACCTGTCATCGGCAGAGTTCCAATTCGTAATTTATAATTTTAAATTAAACATCATTATAGTGTTTTACATACCAAAGTGCAAAGGAGCTGGCAAATTAAAATCATTGGTTCATTAATATGGAGGAATCGCAATTCCATAGATAGAATGCTGTGCATTTCAAATATCTCCTGACACTAAAGAGGATCTTAAATCATAATTTGGCAAAGGTTTCGTGTTTTCTTACAAGTGGATTATTGAGTCTATTGCTTCTCAAAGAGTTTTAAGGCCAGAAAATTATAAGATATACTAAATTGAAGGGAAAAAAGAAGTATCTTTTAGCAGGACGAAATTCACTATCAGGGAAATTATGAAAATCTTTGAGGTGGTATCCTAAAATCCTCAGAGAAGAACAAAAAATCCTGTATATTGGAATCAAAGCATTGAAAGGGGATATTTTCCAGGTAGATCAGTTCATTCAATAAACGCATAGTGGTAAAGATTTTGCCTCTATGATAGTCTAGATGCAGCTATAAAATAAGCTATTAGACTTAAGATGCCCTACTGTGTAAGTTTTAGAGAAATTCCTGATCACTAAGACACAGTAAAAGAAATAATCAAGTAATTAAAAAATAAAAAGAATGAAGCTTATTAACTCGAAAAAATGCGATAAAACTTTTATATTAATGCTGATGGTAAAAACTTACGAGCCCTTGATGAGTAACAAAGAAGTCAATCAGAAGATGATGACGAAGAAGACAGGGAAGAAGATAACTAAGAGGCACCCAGACTTAACCAATAGATGCTAAACTAATAGATCCATAATAATACTGACAATACAAAAAAGGTCTAAGAACTTCTCAGAGTTAAAGATGAACCAAAGTCAACTATCTCCAATAAGGCTTCTACCTCAAACAATTTATTGGGTAAACGCACTAGAGTTCCTGAAATGTCTTTTAATCCAAGTGAAGATACAGAAATATAACTGAGAAAGAAGTATTGGGTTAATAATATTGTAGATAATCCAGTAGAGTAGTAGCCATAAAAAAATGTTTAAGTTTAATAAAAAATTGATACATATACGAAAAAGTAAATTCATGAGTAAGCAAAGTTAAAGGAATCTTAAAATTAAAATAACTCTGAAGAAAACAATGACGATGAGGATGATGATAACACTTCAATTTTTGGTCTTGGAATTGAAAAATTTGCACTTTAAAATAAAAAGAAATATCAGTAGTAAAAAATCGAGACAAAAGAAAGTGATTCGTAAGAAGACCAGATTATTAGATCTGAATCTCATTCATAGTCTAAATCTAGTCAAGATAATTAAAGGTACAGAGATGAAATAACTAATCAATTGCTAAAAGAAGTTAAAACAGAGCCAGGCTCATCTTATCTTAAGAACGAGATTTCTCAAAACAATCAGCTGATTCAGTAAAATTTGGAATTGCTTAAGCAAAATAAAAAGAAAAACACGAACCTATTAAGTAATGGTTAAAGAAAATCATTATCTTACAGATATTCTGAGATAGATTTTAACAAATAACTAAGTCATGTTTAAGATTAAAAAACATCAAGTTTTCAAAGAAGAAATCCACATAACTTTTTGAGTGAAGAAGAGTACAATCCATAAGTATATACATTAGATTATAAAGAGAAATTGGAACAAGATTGCTAGCTTATCAGAGTCGTGCTTTAAAGATATGATGAAGAAGGTGGATTTCAATATAAAAGAAGTGTGATAAATAAACCCTTTTAAGTGATTTAAAATGCTAAAGAATGCCTTAAAAAGAATAAATAGGGAGTATTAGAGAATAGCTTGGATGAATTCATCGGAGATACCAATCTAGTACCTCAGTTAAACAGGCTGCTACATTTACACAAAAAATATGGAAGCAAGCTTAATAAGACTATCGATGACTTGCAAAAAGATTTATTTAGTGTCAACGACGATGTAAGAGCGCTTGAAATGATGCTGAGGGGTGAGAAGGTTACAATCTGGACTGAAATTGAAGATCATATGCTAAGGAAGTATGGTGATGTCTCGTCTACTGAATTTCAATTGTTGATTAAAATAAAAGGACCAGAGGAGGTCTAGAAAAGAAGAAATTTCCTAGGAATTTGATAAATAATAATAATTAAAATAAACATTGATTTGACCTTATTTAATATCTAGAGGGGTTTTGGGGTTTTGGGG